GGGTGAGAAGGTGCCAGTGAAACGTGTGTGTGGGTCAGAAGGTGCAAGTGAAACGTGTGTGTGGGTCAGAAGGTGCAAGCGAAAAGTGTGTGTGGGTCAGAAGGTGCCAGTGAAAAGTGTGTGTGGGTCAGAAGGTGCCGGTGAAAAGTGTGTGTGGGTGAGAAGGTGCCAGTGAAACGTGTGTGTGGGTCAGAAGGTGCAAGTGAAACGTGTGTGTAGGTCAGAAGGTGCCAGTGAAAAGTGTGTGTGGGTCAGAAGGTGCAAGTGAAAAGTGTGTGTGGGTCAGAAGGTGCCAGTGAAACGTGTGTGTGGGTCAGAAGGTGCAAGTGAAAAGTGTGTGTGGGTCAGAAGGTGCAAGTGAAACGTGTGTGTAGGTCAGAAGGTGCAAGTGAAAAGTGTGTGTGGGTCAGAAGGTGCAAGTGAAAAGTGTGTGTGGGTCAGAAGGTGCAAGTGAAACGTGTGTGTAGGTCAGAAGGTGCAAGTGAAAAGTGTGTGTGGGTCAGAAGGTGCAAGTGAAAAGTGTGTGTGGGTCAGAAGGTGCAAGTGAAAAGTGTGTGTGGGTCAGAAGGTGCAAGTGAAAAGTGTGTGTGGGTCAGAAGGTGCAAGTGAAACGTGTGTGTAGGTCAGAAGGTGCAAGTGAAAAGTGTGTGTGGGTCAGAAGGTGCAAGTGAAAAGTGTGTGTGGGTCAGAAGGTGCAAGTGAAAAGTGTGTGTGGGTCAGAAGGTGCAAGTGAAAAGTGTGTGTGGGTCAGAAGGTGCAAGTGAAACGTGTGTGTAGGTCAGAAGGTGCAAGTGAAAAGTGTGTGTGGGTCAGAAGGTGCAAGTGAAAAGTGTGTGTGGGTCAGAAGGTGCAAGTGAAACGTGTGTGTAGGTCAGAAGGTGCAAGTGAAAAGTGTGTGTGGGTCAGAAGGTGCAAGTGAAAAGTGTGTGTGGGTCAGAAGGTGCAAGTGAAAAGTGTGTGTGGGTCAGAAGGTGCAAGTGAAAAGTGTGTGTGGGTCAGAAGGTGCAAGTGAAACGTGTGTGTAGGTCAGAAGGTGCAAGTGAAAAGTGTGTGTGGGTCAGAAGGTGCAAGTGAAAAGTGTGTGTGGGTCAGAAGGTGCAAGTGAAAAGTGTGTGTGGGTCAGAAGGTGCAAGTGAAACGTGTGTGTAGGTCAGAAGGTGCAAGTGAAAAGTGTGTGTACGTCAGAAGGTGCAAGTGAAACGTGTGTGTAGGTCAGAAGGTGCCAGTGAAAAGTGTGTGTGGGTGAGAAGGTGCCAGTGAAACGTGTGTGTGGGTCAGAAGGTGCAAGTGAAACGTGTATGTAGGTCAGAAGGTGCAAGTGAAAAGTGTGTGTAGGTCAGAAGGTGCAAGTGAAAAGTGTGTGTGGGTCAGAAGGTGCAAGTGAAAAGTGTGTGTGGGTCAGAAGGTGCAAGTGATGCAAGTGTGTGTGGGTCAGAGGGTGCAAGTGAAAAGTATGTGTGGGTCAGAAGGTGCAAGTGAAAAGTGTGTGTGGGTCAGAAGGTGCAAGTGATGCAAGTGTGTGTGGGTCAGAGGGTGCAAGTGAAAAGTGTGTGTGGGTCAGAAGGTGCAAGTGAAAAGTGTGTGTGGGTCAGAAGGTGCAAGTGAAAAGTGTGTGTGGGTCAGAAGGTGCCAGTGAAAAGTGTGTGTGGGTGAGAAGGTGCCAGTGAAACGTGTGTGTGGGTCAGAAGGTGCAAGTGAAACGTGTGTGTGGGTCAGAAGGTGCAAGCGAAAAGTGTGTGTGGGTCAGAAGGTGCCAGTGAAAAGTGTGTGTGGGTCAGAAGGTGCCGGTGAAAAGTGTGTGTGGGTGAGAAGGTGCCAGTGAAACGTGTGTGTGGGTCAGAAGGTGCAAGTGAAACGTGTGTGTAGGTCAGAAGGTGCCAGTGAAAAGTGTGTGTGGGTCAGAAGGTGCCGGTGAAAAGTGTGTGTGGGTGAGAAGGTGCCAGTGAAACGTGTGTGTGGGTCAGAAGGTGCAAGTGAAACGTGTGTGTAGGTCAGAAGGTGCCAGTGAAAAGTGTGTGTGGGTCAGAAGGTGCAAGTGAAAAGTGTGTGTGGGTCAGAAGGTGCCAGTGAAACGTGTGTGTGGGTCAGAAGGTGCAAGTGAAAAGTGTGTGTGGGTCAGAAGGTGCATGTGAAACGTGTGTGTAGGTCAGAAGGTGCAAGTGAAAAGTGTGTGTGGGTCAGAAGGTGCAAGTGAAAAGTGTGTGTGGGTCAGAAGGTGCAAGTGAAACGTGTGTGTAGGTCAGAAGGTGCAAGTGAAAAGTGTGTGTGGGTCAGAAGGTGCAAGTGAAAAGTGTGTGTGGGTCAGAAGGTGCAAGTGAAAAGTGTGTGTGGGTCAGAAGGTGCAAGTGAAAAGTGTGTGTGGGTCAGAAGGTGCAAGTGAAACGTGTGTGTAGGTCAGAAGGTGCAAGTGAAAAGTGTGTGTGGGTCAGAAGGTGCAAGTGAAAAGTGTGTGTGGGTCAGAAGGTGCAAGTGAAAAGTGTGTGTGGGTCAGAAGGTGCAAGTGAAAAGTGTGTGTGGGTCAGAAGGTGCAAGTGAAACGTGTGTGTAGGTCAGAAGGTGCAAGTGAAAAGTGTGTGTGGGTCAGAAGGTGCAAGTGAAAAGTGTGTGTGGGTCAGAAGGTGCAAGTGAAACGTGTGTGTAGGTCAGAAGGTGCAAGTGAAAAGTGTGTGTGGGTCAGAAGGTGCAAGTGAAAAGTGTGTGTGGGTCAGAAGGTGCAAGTGAAAAGTGTGTGTGGGTCAGAAGGTGCAAGTGAAAGTGTGTGTGGGTCAGAAGGTGCAAGTGAAACGTGTGTGTAGGTCAGAAGGTGCAAGTGAAAAGTGTGTGTGGGTCAGAAGGTGCAAGTGAAAAGTGTGTGTGGGTCAGAAGGTGCAAGTGAAAAGTGTGTGTGGGTCAGAAGGTGCAAGTGAAACGTGTGTGTAGGTCAGAAGGTGCAAGTGAAAAGTGTGTGTGGGTCAGAATGTGCAAGTGAAAAGTGTGTGTGGGTCAGAAGGTGCCAGTGAAAAGTGTGTGTGGGTGAGAAGGTGCCAGTGAAACGTGTGTGTGGGTCAGAAGGTGCAAGTGAAACGTGTGTGTAGGTCAGAAGGTGCAAGTGAAAAGTGTGTGTGGGTCAGAAGGTGCAAGTGAAAAGTGTGTGTGGGTCAGAAGGTGCAAGTGAAAAGTGTGTGTGGGTCAGAAGGTGCAAGTGAAACGTGTGTGTAGGTCAGAAGGTGCAAGTGAAAAGTGTGTGTGGGTCAGAAGGTGCAAGTGAAAAGTGTGTGTGGGTCAGAAGGTGCCAGTGAAAAGTGTGTGTGGGTGAGAAGGTGCCAGTGAAACGTGTGTGTGGGTCAGAAGGTGCAAGTGAAACGTGTGTGTGGGTCAGAAGGTGCAAGTGAAAAGTGTGTGTGGGTCAGAAGGTGCCAGTGAAAAGTGTGTGTGGGTGAGAAGGTGCCAGTGAAACGTGTGTGTGGGTCAGAAGGTGCAAGTGAAAAGTGTGTGTGGGTCAGAAGGTGCCAGTGAAACGTGTGTGTGGGTCAGAAGGTGCAAATGAAAAGTGTGTGTGGGTCAGAAGGTGCAAGTGAAAAGTGTGTGTGGGTCAGAAGGTGCAAGTGAAACGTGTGTGTAGGTCAGAAGGTGCAAGTGAAAAGTGTGTGTGGGTCAGAAGGTGCAAGTGAAAAGTGTGTGTGGGTCAGAAGGTGCAAGTGAAAAGTATGTGTGGGTCAGAAGGTGCAAGTGAAACGTGTGTGTAGGTCAGAAGGTGCAAGTGAAAAGTGTGTGTGGGTCAGAAGGTGCAAGTGAAAAGTGTGTGTGGGTCAGAAGGTGCAAGTGAAAAGTGTGTGTGGGTCAGAAGGTGCAAGTGAAACGTGTGTGTAGGTCAGAAGGTGCAAGTGAAAAGTGTGTGTAGGTCAGAAGGTGCAAGTGAAAAGTGTGTGTGGGTCAGAAGGTGCAAGTGAAAAGTGTGTGTGGGTCAGAAGGTGCAAGTGATGCAAGTGTGTGTGGGTCAGAGGGTGCAAGTGAAAAGTGTGTGTGGGTCAGAAGGTGCCAGTGAAAAGTGTGTGTGGGTCAGAAGGTGCAAGTGATGCAAGTGTGTGTGGGTCAGAGGGTGCAAGTGAAAAGTGTGTGTGGGTCAGAAGGTGCAAGTGAAAAGTGTGTGTGGGTCAGAAGGTGCAAGTGAAAAGTGTGTGTGGGTCAGAAGGTGCCAGTGAAAAGTGTGTGTGGGTGAGAAGGTGCCAGTGAAACGTGTGTGTGGGTCAGAAGGTGCAAGTGAAACGTGTGTGTGGGTCAGAAGGTGCCAGTGAAAAGTGTGTGTGGGTCAGAAGGTGCCAGTGAAAAGTGTGTGTGGGTGAGAAGGTGCCAGTGAAACGTGTGTGTGGGTCAGAAGGTGCAAGTGAAAAGTGTGTGTGGGTCAGAAGGTGCCAGTGAAACGTGTGTGTGTGGGTCAGAAGGTGCAAGTGAAAAGTGTGTGTGGGTCAGAAGGTGCAAGTGAAAAGTGTGTGTGGGTCAGAAGGTGCAAGTGAAAAGTGTGTGTGGGTCAGAAGGTGCCAGTGAAAAGTGTGTGTGGGTCAGAAGGTGCCAGTGAAACGTGTGTGTGGGTCAGAAGGTGCAAGCGATGCTTGTGGAAGGAAAGCGATCGAGAGGAAGGTAGACAAAGAGAAGGGTGTTGTGTGAACCTAGCCTGGCACAAGCGCCGTGGTGGCGGCACTGCCACTTAGTGGTGAAGGGCGGTTGTTGTTGTTGCTATTGTGCGTAAACGTGTGTGTGTTGTGTAACAACATCGGTGACGAATATCTTAACCGGTACTGGGCCTCCCTACGACAGCGATAGATCAACGAGTCATCGTCGTCGCTGCTCTAATCGATGACAGCTCACGGGTCAGCATCGTCTCTGCTTTAATCGATGACAGCGGACAAACAAGCGCAGTAACATCGACAGCGATGAGCGAACGAACGGGCGCGCCCGCGAGCACCTCCAACACGTGCGCACGCGAGCACCTCCAACACGTGCGCACGCGCGCGTCAGCTCTCGAGAACCAGGGACCAGGGCTCGAACGCGGCCCATGGAACCATGGAACCCCCCGGGGGCGGGCGGGGGGGGTCACATCCGAGAGGCCGAAATTGAAGGCGTTGGCACCCGGGGTTTGGGGTGGACGAGTGGGACATGAGGAGTTGGGGACGGCGAGTTGGTTATGTGCGGGGTGAGATCTTTTAGCGGTGGGGGGGGGGGGGGGGGGATAAAGATGCACTTGACCGGAGCTCAAAACCCAAACCTGTCAACCCCTTATCAGGGCCTCCCTTATTACAGACACATTCAGATCTTATTGGTCACCCCGTGCCCCTTATACATCTCAACGTGCATCCTAAAAAGTCTCATCACAAGGGAGAAACGCAAACAAATAGACAACGCATTTTTTGCCCGCATTGAAACGGCTATACGCCATATAGACGTGAAAACTCAATTTCCCTGTACAATAATACGGGGTAAACCTATGGGTTGGCAGCTATGGAAAAACTCCCGGTGCGGTGTGCAAACATCGCCACTGGAGAAACAAAGGCGACGGCGGCCGGGCATGGCGCTGGCCAACCCAAATCCTCGTGCGCCGTGCCGGTCTTCGTAGGTGCGACTCGCTAACAGCACTTTCCCCCCAACAGCCGATTCATGCTGCACGGGAGATCTTTGTATGTATGGGTAAGGAGATGATGAAGGCGTGTGGGGGCATGGGGGGGGGGGGGTAAAGACACCTGAACCCGGTCCTGCTTGTGGTTTTGCCCCCCCACCCCCCCCCACCCAGTTTAATAGTTGGGGAACAGCTGCAGCCCCCCCCCCCCCACCTCTTCCCCGAGCGAGTGAATAACTGGGGCTCGACTCTATATGTAATCACCACCGCCACGAGGTCAAACTAGGGCTTAATATTAGCCGGAACTCTCATTGGCTGAGCTCCATAACGTGTATATATAGTTTCCCTGCCCCATGCTGTTGGGGGCTTTGAAGCTGCGGAAAATATTTCATGAAACAATGTAATCCCTGGGCCAGAGACCGGACGGGATCTGAATCCTCGAGTCCCAGACACGCGAGGCCCGCTAAGTCCCAAGAGCAGTGCACGCGTGCGAACTGCACCCCCCTCCAGCAGGGGGGTGCGCCCCATCACGGCGGAGATGACCCCCACATTAGTGAAGGTCCCCGGTGGCCCGCGCGAGGCTCCCGTCGTCTCTAGCAGAGCTTGGCGGACGCGACGCCGTCGAGGCGGGTCCCGTTGAGCGCCGCGGGGCTGGAGCAGGAGCCCGAGTCCTCGGGGAAGAGCTCCACCTGGGCCCGGCTGAGCCACTTGACCAGCGGCGCCAGCTTGCAGTCGCACGCCCACGGGTTGCCGTGCAGGTAGAGCACGCTCAGGTCTGCGCCGTGTCACACGCGTGTCGGGGGCAGGCAAGACAACTCAGCAACTCGGCAACCCACGCGCTACACTGCCCGACCAGGCAACTCGGCAACCAGGCAACTCGGCAGCCAACGTCTACACAGCCAAACCAGGCAACTTAGCATCCAGGCAACTCGGCGACCAGGCAACCGACGTATACATAGCACAACCAGGCAACCGCACAACCATACAACCAGGCAACCAACATCTCCACAGCACAACCAGGAAACTCAGTAACCAGGCAACTGGCATCTGCGCAGCCCAACCATGCAACTCTGCAGGCGACATCGCTACAGCTAGCCAGGCAACTCGGAAACCACCAGGCAACCGACATCTGCACAGCTCACCAGTCAACTTGGAAGCTGGAAAACCATTTCGTCAGCCAATCAGATAATCAGGCAACCAAGCAGTTGGGCAGCAATCTGGACAGTCCACTCGCGTAACAGTAATGTAGCCGTGACCTTGTATGAAGTTGGTGGGTGGGGTTGGGGTGGAGTAGGGTGAGAGGGGCACGACAAACACTCACGACACGGTCAAAATGTTGCACCGAGCATCAGGAGCACGGAGTAGGGCGAGGTGGAGGATGTGGCTGGCGCCGCGTGTCCCGGACTCTTCCGGCTGCACCCGACCCTGGCGTCGTAGCGGCTACCGCAGCGGAGCGGCTGTTGAGTGCGCAGGCGGTGCAACTGCACTGTGCATTGGGCAGGGGGTCCCTTCTCATCCCTTCACCCGCGGCACTTACCCCTGTACCCTGAACTTTTGAAAACATCAGCCACACCCCTGACCCTGACCTTGACCCATCCCAAGGGCTACCTCTGACCCTGTCCTTGACGCATCGCATGCACTAGACCTACTCCTGACCCTGACCCACCCCAGACACGAGCTCTATACCCTTTGACCCACCCCAGACACGAGCTCTATGCCCTTTGACCTTGACCCATCTCAAGCACGAGCTCTACCCTCTGACCTTGACCCTGACCCATCCCAAGCACTCACCCTATCCCGAACACTCACCTATCCCACCTTAAATTAAGCACTGCGAATCGCAGACCACGTCACGTGCCATTCTGATTGGCTGTGGACATCTCTTTCACACCCCCCCCCCCCGGGTGGTGGCGGTGATGATGAATGATGATGGGCGCTGTGCGATTCACGCGCGGACCTCTGAGACGCGAGATGGCTCCACCGTCGAGCGAGCGCAGATGTTTGTTGTTGTTGAGCGTGAGATGCGTGAGCTTGGGGATGTGCTTGAAGGCGTCGCGCGGAACGGAGGCCAGGCGGTTCCCGCTCAGGTAGAGCTGCCTCAGGCCCTGCAGGCCCACGAAGGTCGCGGCCGCCACGCTCGCCAGATCGTTGTTGCTCAGCACCAGCATCTCCAGCTTCTGCAGGGGCTGGAAGAGGCCGTCGGGCACCTCCTTGAGGCGGTTCCCGTCCAAATTGAGGAAGTCCAAGGTGTGAAGGCCCACGAACGCTTTCGGCGAGATTTTGTGGATCTTGTTGAAGCCCAGGTCGAGAATCTTGAGGGAGGGCACGTGCTTGAACAGGAAGCCCTGCAGCTCGGCGAGGTTGTTGAGAGGCATGTCCAGGTCGGACAGATCCTTCAGGCCGTGGAAGGTGTCCGATGAGAGGGAGGCGATCTGGTTCTTGCCCATCAGCAGGAATTTGAGGCGGTAGAGGTTCTGGAAGGCCTTGGGCGGGATCTGGCTCAGGCTGTTACCGTAGAGGTTGAGCATCTGCAGCTTCTTGGTGTCGGAGAAGGTCTTGAGGTGGAAGCTGGAGATGCCATTGTTCTCCAGGTTCATGCTCTCCACCCCAGGGATCTTTTCGAATACCTCGGCACTCAGCTTCTGCACCTTGTTGTAACCTTGAGGTGTGGGAATGGGGAACACAGTGCAGATCAATACAGCCACCACCCCAGTCCCCTCCAACAAGTGCTCCCACCCACCACACGGTGACATCGCGCACGCATCCTCGTCTGTTGTCACAAAGGTTGAACTCACCTAGATAGGTTCAAAGAAAAGGACATTTTTATTATTAAATCTATATTTTTACCTATCTACGTGACTTTACCGAAAGACCCAAGAATAACACATTCCTGCGGAGGGAGCTGGTAGGAACGTTGGGTTGCTCGGTCAATGGCCAGGGTCAACGGCGGCGTGGTGTATTCCGCAAATATGCCCGACTGTGAGGGCGGGCACAAGCCGGCGTGAGTAGGTTAAACGTTGAGTTTTATAAGGACATCACGGGGTGACCAGCCCCGCCCCACCAAGCCCCACCCCTCCCATCCCCCCACCCAGCCCCACCCTCCCCACCCAGCCCCTCCACACCCTCTACACCCAGCCCCTCCCCACCCTCCCCACCCTCTCCTCTCCACCAAGCCCCACCCTCCCCACCCAGCCCCTCCACCACCCTCACTGCCCCACCGAGCCCCTCCCTCCTCACCCAGCCCTCCCTACACGACGGACGGACACAATAATCCCCTGTGGGCTGGTGGAAGCAGTGGGTTCCTACCAGTATGAATCCCTTCAGTCACGAAAGCTTTAAGTCAAGATTCCTCTCATTCAGCCATGAGTCTAATCTCACTCTACTTTTCTCCACGCACTCTCCTTCCTCTCCCCTCTTATCTCACTCTACTCCCCTCCACGCACTCTCCTACCTCTCCCCTCTCATCTCACTCTACTCCCCTCCACGCACTCTCCGCCCCAGCAACCAAGGCTTTCTGTTGAAGCCCCCCAGCCAATCTTCGTTTTGTCGGAGGTCGCTCATTCTCTTGTGCTGGCGCCACAGTCTGTCGACTTCCTCCCCCTGTTCACGTCCAGGCTCAAGGCCCCGTTTCCCCACCTCCGCCTATGACTGACTGCCTCCTGACTGCATCTCTCTCTCTCTTACAGTAAACACGTCCGCCGTTTGTGGTCAGTCTTGCTTAAGATGCGGTGACATTGAGTGGCTCGAGAAAGCCACGCACTTGTCTCGCGGGGCCATCAATCCACGCAACCACACCCGAGACACTGCGCCCCGCTTAGAGGCAGCGCGATATTCCAGCGGCCTGTCTGGATATGAAACCGGGGTTGCCTGGGAACTCAACACGTTCGCGATTTTCGAGTCGCCCCTAATTCACCTGAAGTTTGTAGGATAAGCTGAACCTTGGTCGGAGCGGTGGCGCAGCGGTTTAGCACACACGCAGTGAACCCATTCAGCAGGGAGTTCAATTCCCAACCACGGATAATAATAATATCAGTGGCGAGTGATATCTGGACCGGTCCTGGGGAGATGGGGGTCAGCCCCCCTTTCACCAATACGCATTGACAAGCGTGGTGAAGTATGGTTATCTGATTGGCGACCGTCCGGTGACGGTGAGACCCGACCGAACTCGCTCGCGTGCGATACAAACAAGGCAAACATCGCCACTGGAGAGACGAGACCACCACGGGACCACCACGAGACCACCACGAGACCACCACAAGACCATCACGGGGCCATCACGGGGCCCGAGGTCGGCGCAACGACGCAGACGGACCCATTTTGAGGACCCAGGAGTCGGGAGGGAGGTCCCCGGGCACCGCGGCGAGGTCCCGGCCGCGGCAATCCACGTCCGAGCCTGCGTGGAACGTGGACATGGTGCAGTTGCAGGCGGCCGGGCAGCTCAGCGGGCCCTGCTGCTGCACCGCTGCCCCGCACGCCAGGGCAGCCAGGGCAGCCCACACGGGAAGCAGCAGCATCAACCGCGCCATGGTGCGTGCGGCACGAGCAGCGGAACTCTCCCCGGTCACTGCGAGCGCCGTGAAGTTCGGTGGCGACCACGAGAGGAGATACAACCTGGGGGTGGTGCTGGTGGCGCCGCGGAGCGCGGCTCTTCTCAAGGTGGCGGTGGTCTTTCAACGGGGGTCCCTCTAAAGGGGGTCCCGAGGCGAGCTCAGGTCTCTCGGCACCGGAGGCCGAAGGGACGGGATCCTGGGTCCCAGCGCCGCTGGGTTCAAGGCGCGATGCAAAGGAATACAAAATGTATAAAAAAAGAGTTCAAAGTCACGGAGGGCCCGGCGTAGAGGGAGGCTTCGGGAGGAGAGAGTGGACGAGTGAGACGAGAGGTGTCAAGAGAAGGATAGAGTCGAGATGGAGGGAGAGATGGAGGGAGGAGAGAGTGCGAGTTGCGGTGCGCGCCCAGTTTGGACTCGCGAGCAGATGTCACATCGCAGCTCGTCACGCCGAGCCGTGGCCCCTCGTCTCCGGCCTCCAGTGTTCATTCTCCCGGCCGTGTTTGTCTCTCCCCCGCGAGCCGGCACGCAGTCACCCCCTTGATAGACTCTGCGCTGCGCGGGCCGCGTGCCCGCTGCCCCCCCCCCCCCCTTACCTAACACCCCCCCACCCGCCACGCCTCACCCTGCAGGACCCCGCTCCCCCCCCCGCGTGTTTGTGCTGGGGGGCCATGAAAGCGCTCTCAGTGCCGCCACGTGGCACGGGGTCTCCACATTCCCCCCCCCCCCCCCCCCCCCACAAGGCGCGCGCTGTGCTCGCCTCGTCTCGTCACCTGCACCGCCTCGCCACCACCGGGCGACGGCTCTCACAGCCCCCGCACTCTCTCTCTCCCTCCTCTCTCACGCAAATTCGTGAAGCGTTCCTCTCTCTCAAACTCTCTCTCTCAAACTCTCTCTCGCTTCTACACCCTCTTGCTCTCACACTCTCACAGCCCCCGCACACTTTCTCTCAAACTCTCTCAAACTTTCTCACACACTCTCTCTCTCAAACTCTCTCACACACTCTCTCTCCCTGCCACACTCTCTCGCTCTCAAACTCTCCAACACACCCTCGCTCTTACACTCTCTCGGGTTCACACTCTCCCACACACTCTCTCCCACACATTCTCACTCGCTCACACTCTCACACTCTCTCTATGCTCCCCCTGAGTTCACGTAACCCGCACAGACCAGCGTGGTGAACACCCGCACGGTCTGGTCACAAACAACCCGCATGGCGTGCGGTGGGGGGAGGCCCTCATCCAGCAGTGGAGTGACAGAGTGCGCATGTATGGGGAGCGGTGGTGCAGTGGTTAGCACACTGCGGTACGAACCTGGCGACCCGAGTTCAATTCCCGCTCACGGCCAACATCAGTGACCATTATCTGAACCAGTGCTGGGCCTCCCCTAGGTGGACTCAGCCTCAAATGAGTAGCTGGTGCGATGTGTAAACATCGCCGGGCGTGGTGCTGGCGACCCACCCCCTCGTGTGCAGTGCCGGCCTTCATAGGTGCTCGCTAACAGCACTTGCCCCTCTTAAGGCAATGCTGGGAACCTTTGTCAGTGTGAGTAAATCTGCACCCGTGTGTTGTGCGCGTCTCTCCTTTATTTTGTCACGAAATGGCCACGTGTTCTCTCGCTCAATAAAGCCAATCCCGCTCGCGGCTAACATCAGTAGCGAGCGAAATCTCAACCGGTCCTACCCCCGCAGCCCCCCTTCCTCACCCACCCCGCCCTCTTCACCAACTGTCCAACGTGGTGAAGTATGGTCAAACGCATCCCCATGACCGACACGCCGCGGCAGGGCAAACCTGACGATCGCACCGTCGTTACTGTCACGGCACTCGACCCGTGACACCGCATTCGACGATCGCGTTAAATGTCACTGTGGCGTCCCCAAAGCGCTATATCAGTGCACCCTGACCATCACTTTGAAGTCTTTCTTGTTTAATTTGCGAAGCTTCAAACCTCCCGCGCTCGCCGGTGTGGAGCGCGCGTCCCACGCAGGCGGCGCGTGGCGTTAGATTTACATTCGCCTTTCGCTGATTGTCAATGAACCCTCAGAGACCGCCCCTCTACCGATGGGGGGGGGGGGGAATTCCTTCTTCACGGGGGCGACTGCCACCTCCAGATGAACCCACGCGTGAGGAGGCCCGGTGTGGAGTCGTGAGTCACGGATGAGGATCGACGTCCACTCCGTGAGCTCCTGACGCCGCGTGCCTCTTGACGAGATCCCTCGTTGATGGAGTCGCCTTCACAGGGGCCACCGCGGACGGTAGTAGAGGAGGTTCCCCACCTCCCACCCTCCCCCCTCTCCCCGTCCCCCGCGGCTCAGCTGACCGGCGGGGTCCGCTTCTCGCTCCCGCGGGGTCTCTGTGGGCGGCAAGGGGACGCGAGGTTGTTAGTGACCCCCCCCCCCCTCCCCGTGAAGGGGGTCCCCTCACCTTGCTCGTCTCGGAGTCCCTCGACCAGGACTGGGGCCCAATGGGCGTGCGTGGGGTCACGTGGAGGGCCTCCCCGTTGGGTGGACTCGTGGGTGACTTACGGAGCTACAGTGGGCGACTCAGACATACACACGAGACCCATCGCAGGTCAAGAGGTCATGTCCACGTGTTCCATCCCGATGACACCGAACTGAACTCCTTTCCAACTCCAAAGGGAGGTTTATTTTTCAATTGCCACCACGCATAGACCCTCATCAACGCCTGGACGTGAATGCTCAACACCTGTGCCATCTTGACCCGCAAAGCCTGAATAGAGACTCTTTAACATCTGGGCATACAGATGAAGATTTTCAAGCTTGGGTGCTTGCTTTAATGCCTCATCATCTCGAAGCACCTGACCCTATATTTCGTCTCAAACATTCCATTGAAGGTTCTCCTAAATCTGGCGAAATGTTGGGATTGTGGTCTGGGGTTTGGAGACCAAACGGATTGATTTATTTTAATTTATTTTCTCTATGTCATGATAATTTTCTTGTTCTGTGCATTTTTTATCGTTATTTATTTATTCATATTTTAGTTTGAGATTTGCTAAGGAGTGGAGTTTCGTTTTTGTATCATTTGTGTAAGGGACTAGCTAATTGATGTGCAGCGTTGTGGGATGCAATTGCATGAATGGCGCTCTATAAAATGAAATTATGACTATTATTGCCCTGCAGCAGCTAAGTCCAGGGGACCCCGGTGGGCAGCAGTCACTATGCGTCACGAGGTGTTACGCAGCGCCATCCCGCAACTGGGTTCAGTCGCACGACCCCAGACAGCACAGAGGGCCCTCAGAAGCAGCTGGATACCCGAGGCCACAGGACACCGCGTGGGGCCGCCTGTTGTAGCTGCGCTGCACGTGGCTACCTGTGACCCAGCACTGTGGAGGCAGCAGCGCAGGTTGGTGGATCACCGCATTTAGATTTTGTAAAACTCCCTTCCCGTAGGTGGGTGTGGAGAAGGTGCCATACCCTTACCCGCCAGGAGAAGGCGGTACAGCAAGTGGACTAATCGTAATCTGTTTCCATCTGTACGGGGATAGATTACGCAAGGCGTGGGTTTTCTCCAGGTGCTCCGGTTTCCTCTGATGTGAATAATAAACACGACTCATTATTAATTTGCTAAATTAAAAACCCATTGCTAAACCCTTCTGAAAAAGACTATCACGCCTCAGTGTGGCTCTCCTGGATAAATAAGTAAATTATTAACAACAAAACCCTGGCCCATTGTAGAGCACTGGTCATCGGAGAATCGCCCGGGGCGCATTTCCCCTTTTGGCCGCACGTGAGGGACTTCCCGGGCCTCTTGCCTTGAGCGTGAGGCCCTTGCTCATGGAGAAGCTGTATGTGCAGGGCACGTGGCTGTTGCGTGGGGCCGAGCGCGAGGCCCTGGGCAGGTGGAACTCGGTGGGCGGCGCCGCGGCATCCCGGAACATCGCCAGCCTCTGTCTGAGCACCGTCTGCAACCGTGGCTCTGCGAGGTGGGCAGGCGGCGGGGGGGAGGGGGGCGGCACAGGTAGCGGTGGTGAGGGAGATGGAGCGCGGCGTGGGTCGCGTCGGGGCCTGCGGTTGCTCCGCAGTGGAGACTGGAGGCCACGGCTTTCACGTGACAGCTGGCGGTCACTTCATCAAGCATCGCGTGACGTGGCGTGCCGCGTCACGCGGGCAGGAAACGACGATTTGTGCAGGTTACACGGCACGTGACATACAGACGACGTTTCGTCGAGCGTGATGGATCGGACAAAAAACTGTACAAAACGAAACGGCACAAACGAGAGACAACATATGCTTTGTTGGCACCTCCGATTAGCGCGGTTGGCTATGTACCGTGCGAAAGAAGCTCCAGGCCTCATGACCGTGGGGGAAATTCAGGTTTCCTCATTCTCCAATCTCCAAACGCCGGGGGGTGCGACGAGCGACCACTTCAGCCACACACCGCCCTTTCACCACCCCCCTCCCCAGCCCTGCCCCTTTGACAACCCACAATACTCCGGTTTTCCACTCCACATTTAGAAACATGTATCGTTTAGAATATTTGGCTGCTGTACATTTCCGCGTGATAAGCCACTTCGGCTGGCGGTCGCCGTGCAGTACGCCCATTGGCTCTCGATGGACCTGGAGCGACAAGCGGGGGGGGGGGTCATGGCGAGCGGGCGACGCACCAGGCAGGCCGCTGGCGCTGTGCGGGATGCGGCCCTCGCGGGCAAACCCCGCCCAGAAGGGCAGGAGCTCGTGGAAGACTGCATTCTGGGCCTCGTCGAACACGCGCGGGGCCAGCTGCTCGGGCCGGGCCAGGCACGCCTGGGCAGCCGCCCTCACGGCCTCCGCCTGCTCCGGAGAGATGTCCACCTGGGAGCACGCGCCAGGGTTAGGGGTGGAGTTGCCGGATGAGCGACGGATAACAGCTAGAGGCGCAGCCTCGCAATTGCTCGTTCGCATCACCGCCGGCTGAAGACCCCCCACTAGAGGGCCAGCAGAGTCTTGACATGACTCGGAAGGCAGGGAGCGCAGCAATAAAGAGGATCTCGCCCATCCTGATGTCAGCATTTCACCGATCCCCAGGTGCGACTCGGAGCATCAGGTGCCAGTTGCAGCAGCTCAAACCCATGCAGACAAATCATCAACACCTCGTCCCCCGCAGACGCGCTCCGGAGGCCTCTTCCCTGCCTCATCTGCGCTACCCACCCACCTCTTTGCACCGTCAACGTGACACTACACAGTCTAGAGCTTTCTTACTCTGCGAAATCGCCCAGATTGGCTCATGGGGTTGTGGGATCACCCAAGGATGAGAGATCTTGAGTTGCCCTCACGACATCCTGATACTCCTGCTTCTCCCACCCCCCGATCCCCCATGCCCCCCCACCTGAAGCGTGGGCTCGAGGCGAGATTTGATGAAGCAGTCGAGGATGATGCGAATCTTCTTGCGCAGAAGGACGTGGTCGGGGTCGGCGTGGTGTGCGTTCTTGAACTTCTGCACCTCGAGGTAGAAGAGGAGGTCTCGTTCGGCGCGGGGCCGCCCGGCCTCGGCCCCAAGCTCTTGCAGGCGCTGCAGGAAGCCGAGCAGCTCCGGCGTGAGGCCACCCTCTGCGGCTTGCGCCAGCGCAGTGCGGAACGCCGCCTTGTCGGCCGCGCTCGGGTCGGCCCGTGCTGCCCGGCCTCCCAGGGGCCCTGCCCGCGCCCTCCACCTCCTGGCCAGCAGCATGGAGGCCGCCCCACGGATGAGGCCATCCCAGGCCTCGGGGTCCTCCAAACCCACCCCGCCACCACCGCCGCCACCGCCGCCGCCGCGGCGCTTGAGCTCCGAGCTCATCCCGGCCCAGAAGGAGCTCAGCGATGGCCACAGGATCCCGCCGAGGGCATCGGCGGCCCGGGACGCCGTGGCGTCCGTGAGACCAGCGGCGCCGGATCGGTCGCACTCGGCCTGCAGCGCGCCCAGCAGCTCGTCGGACAGAGGCACGACGGCGCGCGAGGCCGGCGAGAGGTACGTCTCGGTCAGGGCGGTCAGGGCGCAGCGCCTCGCCCGCGCTCCCCGGGCCGCCAGGTGGTCCCAGAGCGCCGACAGCATTCCCAGGCAGTGCCGTAGCGTGGCCGGCTCCGTCTCCTTCAAGAACCTCCCGAAGGCCGCGCGCATCATCTTGTTGTGCAGCACAGCCCGCAGGTGCGGCACGGCGTCGGCCTCCACCAGCGCCTTCAGATCGAAGTGGACGCCGCTCTCCTCCGCGGCGCCGGCCTCGCGCGGAGGTCGCGGGCGAGGCCGGGTTCGCCCGCGTCGCCCGCGGACCCGGCTGGGGCCCGAGGTCCCCTCTGCACTCCTCCTGGCGCTGCTCCTGATGACAGGGAGGAGGGGAGGGGGGAGGGGGGGCAGGGGAGCGCAATGGGGATCGTGGATGCACACAGGTGAATCAATCATCGGTGCAATGACCATGGTAGAGATTCAGTCGCGCTTGTGATGGCCTACGATTAGGACCGTTGGCTACGTATGGTGCGACAGAAGTTCAACATACATACAGAGACGTTGGGGTGATTGACTTTTTATTTGCGCTTAGGGTGAAAGCGTTTCTACATTTGTTTAATCTGCCTGTAACGTGCGGTGGGTGGGGAGAGGGCGGTCATGGTAACTATCATGAGTTTCGATTTAAAGCTTTCGTGACTGCAGGGATTCATCTTCTTGGTTCTTTCGGTAAAGTCACGTAGAAGGGAAGTAATAAAATAATAAAAATAAAACATAATAAAACAATTCTCACGACGTTTCGGCCACAACGCAAGCAGCCGTCCTCAGGTGAAAACCAGGTCCGTCGAGGCGACAGAGTCTGAATGAAACAGCACACGGGCTTAGAGCATATTTATAAGCTGGGCGCATTGACAAAGGAATTTGCATATCAACAGGAATTTAGCATATTTATGGGAAATGCAGGAATGTAATTAGTACTGCATATGCATGTGCATTATGCAGGATTAACAGCATCAAAGGGAGCTGAAGTTACTGCTGCTGCAGCAGTTGCTGCTGCTGCTGCAGTTTCTGCTGCTGCTGCAGTTGCTGCTGCTGCTGCACTTGCTGCTGCTGCTGCACTTGCTGCTGCTGCTGCACTTGCTGCTGCTGCTGCACTTGCTGCCTTATCCATTTTAATATAACACTATATATTATTCTACCCACCCTAATGTGTATCATACTGCTATATGTTTACTGTACAATTACGACACCATACATTACTCTGCACACTGCACCATGCCAGTGAGTGGAACGCGGTCTGAAAGTCACCGTTAACGTGAACACAATCAGTTAAGATCCGAAATGGTTTATTACGTCCTTCCAATGATTGCTAAGCCAGAATCCATCTTCTCGGTTGAAATTGTCTCTGTGTTTGTATATGTGGATCGTCTCATGAACGAATCTCTCATGATAGCCAGATGGCTTGCAGAGAACCTCTGTCTTGGAGAAGTCAATGTCATGTGAGCCCACTGAATTGTAACAGTGATCTGCCACGGCTGAGGTGTTTGTCCTACCGTGTTTCAGGTCTGCCTTATGTTCACGGATGCGGTCCGAGACATGTCGTTTGGTTTCTCCAATGTAACTGCTACCACAGAGGCAACTTAGTTTGTAGACGCCAGGGTACTGTATGTCTGGAACCACATCTTTTACAGACGGGACCAGATCACGGATTTTATGTACTGTGTTGAATCGGACCTGGATCTTGTGTTTAATCAGGATTTTGGAGATCTTTTTTGTGACCCCAGCAATGTAGGGTAAGGTGATGGTCTTGAAAGGCTCCTCAACAGGATCCTTCTTGATGGTTGGAGCCAATATAATAATATATAGTGTTATATTAAAATGGATAAGGCAGCAAGTGCAGCAGCAGCAGCAAGTGCAGCAGCAGCAGCAAGTGCAGCAGCAGCAGCAAGTGCAGCAGCAGCAGCAAGTGCAGCAGCAGCAGCAACTGCAGCAGCAGCAGAAACTGCAGCAGCAGCAGCAACTGCTGCAGCAGCAGTAACTGCAGCTCCCTTTGATGCTGTTAATCCTGCATAATGCACATGCATATGCAGTACTAATTACATTCCTGCATTTCCCATAAATATGCTAAATTCCTGTTGATATGCAAATTCCTTTGTCAATGCGCCCAGCTTATAAATATGCTCTAAGCCCGTGTGCTGTTTCATTCAGACTCTGTCGCCTCGACGGACCTGGTTTTCACCTGAGGACGGCTGCTTGCGTTGTGGCCGAAACGTCGTGAGAATTGTTTTATTATGTTTTATTTTTATTATTTTATTACTTCCCTTCTACGTGACTTTACCGAAAGAACCAAGAAGAACTATCATGAGGATGAGCCGATACAAACGAATTTCTCTGCTGAGGTCACGCTGCTATTTTATCCTTGCACATGATGGCAGCAACGACATGTGCGGGAATTAGAAGTCACTGTGGAGGTCTGTTGGCCACGATGAGAGGGCTTCAGCAGGGAGAGAGAGTTTGTGTAGTTCTGCTGTTCCTCCTGCATTGACGGAGGGCAGACTCCAGTGGTTTAGTTTATGGTCCATAGTTTGTCGCGATTAGGGACTCGCGCGAGAGAAAGCCGGACAAAACTTTCGGAGGGCTTAGTGTCCAAACCTTTGGAGATACAAATCACGGTAGAAACGACCGTTTGCAAACGATTTTTGTCCCAACGGCCGCTCGGAGCGCTGTTTGGACAGCGTCGCAAGCAGCCGCACGTGTAGATGCCCTCCACCATCCGTGCGTGCGCATGATTACATTTCGACTGGAGCACGGTGAGCAGAAAGCTAAATGAGCATTACTACTATAATAGCCCAGAAATGTGTGTAACGCACGTGACGTCACTCCACATGCCGCACCCCCCCCACCCGTCATTAATAATAAAATAATCATGAGCGGCTGTATTTTTACACTCACGCGGAAGAAGTCGCTTTACAGAAAGTGACGGTCAAAAATACATCTACGCAGCACAGTGCTACATCCGTACGTGACGTCACTGCAAAAGAGCCCCCCCCCCCCGTCACTACTATCATAAGCAATACAAATTTTTTACACCAATTCGCTTTAAATGAGACGTTTCTTTACTTAAAGTTAATCAAATAAATAATTCTCCTCAGCAACAAAGTGTATTTGGTGTCTTTATTTATTTCTTCAGCACTTGAAACAAAAGGTAAGTCTAATTTTTGCTTCTAAATTATGATCAAATATATACATTTCTCTGTGATTTTCCAGACATTGTATCGAATTCAAATTGATTACAACCCCAGCGAGCGAAAGCAAAATAAAATAACGTATCAGAGCAGTGATTTGGAACTAATTGAAGGTGAGTTTTAAATGCAGAAGTGAGGTGTTTTATGACGTAGTTTTGTGCAAGAATCACTGTACAAGAGATTCACACAAAATATCGTATACCGACGGTTTCATTTTTTAAGTTAAGAAAAATGTATTTACGTGCAACAATTCCTAAAAAAAATTACAAACACACAAGAAAACGTGAATGTACATCTTTAATATTACAGCTTCTGTCCTAGGACAGGCAAAAGGCTAACTGAAGGTCAGTTAAATACAGTGCTACAGTGACATGAAGTGAGGTGTTTTATGACATAGTTTGTGCAAGCATTACTGCTATTAATACAATACTACAGTGAAATCCAGTGAAGTGTTTGATGACATCGTTTTGTGCAAGATTCACTCCCATTAATACAGTGCTACAGTGAAATGCAGTTAAGTGTTTGATAACATTCTTTCGTGCAATATTCACTGCCATTAAATTTACACAAGATGCAATGAAACTCTGCTAAAAAAATCGTAAATATTACAGCTTCCGTCCTAGGATGGGCAAAAGGCTAGTTCATGGTATTAATTGAAAACATCAACACACACCGTCACCTTCACCGTGACCTCACCTCGCACCGTGACCTCACCTGTTGGAGCGGCCGGGTTCCGAGTCGGAGAGAACCTCGTAGGAGTCCCCCAGGTCCGCGCAAAACCTGCACCGCACATCCACATGTATGTATATGTATGTTGTACCTATGTTGAACTTCTTATGCACCGTACATAGTCAACCGTGCTACTCGGAGGTGCGGGGGATGGACAGCAAACTAAACACAAAAAGCATTTATAAATAAATTAGTTTTCAATTTAGATTTATAAGTGCATAGCTCCAGTCGCATCCTAATATCAGAAGGAAGAGCATTCCAGACGGCCGCAGAAGAGCATCTGAAAGCGCATGATGCAGTGACCGTCTTTGATGGCTAGCCAAAAGCCGCCACTGCGAGGATGACCGGAGTTCACGTGATGGTTTATGCTCCTGACGAGATCAGTAAGATATTGTGGTTTATTTGTGGCAAGCACATCCACACACACATTCACACAACTGCCATCACATCCTCCATCGCGTGGCTGTGTGTGTGGCGCCATCACCACCTGCAATGTGGCTCAAGCAGCCACTGTGAAGATCAGCAAGAGGTGGGGTTTGGACCAAGGTCATAGCTCGGCTTATGGTTCGAGTTAGGATGAGGTCTAGGATCAGGGTTAGTGTTTGGGTCAGGGTCAAGGATGGGGTTAGAGTTATGTTCATGGATCGGGTTGTGGTCAAGGTCTATTATTAGGTCTAGGGTAGTTGAGATTTCGGGTCAAATGTAGTCAGAGATAGAGTCATATCGAGGGCTAGGGTCTGGTCTAGAGTTAAGTTCATTGTCAAAGACAGTAGTTTTTATGGTCAATTCTAGGGTTCATGTCTAGGGTGAGGGTTCGGGTCATTGCTACGGTTTGGTAGAGGGTTAAGTCTCGAGTGAGCGTTGATGTCCGCTCGAGGCTGAGCACCATCTCTCCGTGCACATGGAGGCGCCGCGTCACGTGGCACTCACTGGAGGAACGTGTGGATGTCCAGACGGTAGAACTCGACCCAGGCCTGGCTCAGGCTGCGCGTGGCCTCGTTCAGGGCCCCCTCAAACATGCCCAGGTCCACGGTCTCGTCGCCCCGCCCGGCCTGCAAGGCCCCCCGCAGTGCAGATACCAATGCCTGGTCCCACGGCTCACAGCCTAGGCCGCAGAGACACGGGAGGTCCATGCCGCATGCACTCTTAAGAGTCTTGACGCGAGCGCAAGTTGCGTTAGCGGGCTCCTATTAAGATTAGAGACGTCCCATTTCCTGGGTTTTCTCGTGCCCCAGCCGGGTAACTCCCTCTGCATGGAGCAGGGGTGTGGTGACACGGGGACACGGTAACATGGGAACAGCGAGATGGAGAGACATGAGATTACGGGGACATGGGGATAGGGAGACAGAGAGACATGGAGACGTGGCGACATTGGGGCATAGAGATAGGGGCACACATTGGGACGTGAGGAAACAGAGACGTGGAAACATGGGGAGACGTGGAAACGCACGTAACCCGGTCGAGTTAATAGGCACGTGGCGCGGGGCGCACCTGTGCTGCAGGGCGCGTTGGGAGCCAGGTAGGTGTTGTAGATGTCCCAGGCCGCCAGGGCGCTGACCCTGGGCCGCTCCCAGGGCCCAGGGGCCGCCCCCTCGGCGAGCCGCGCCACCTCCAGCCACAGCAGGAGCCGGTGCAGCATGGATCGGTCCTCCCACCTGGGCACCCACGCCAACACGCCACAGCGGACAGGACGGCGTGCAGGTGAGTCTACCTGTGCACAATCCTTCCTCTCCACCAGTGTGTCTGTCTGTGACCTGTCCACGAATGAGGTCTACTGGACATCTGTGAAACTCCTGGACATCTGTGAAAAAGAGCTTTATAGCTCATCGGATTCCTCCAGTATAAATACATATTTTGAGTTAACCTGTCCACTAGCATGTCAGCTGGAGGTGGAATCGTGGATGAAGGTGTAAGTGGAGGGAGGGGTTAAACTCCCACTGAATATGTTCCGGGTCACCGGTGGACTGGAATATAGCACGTGACCAACAGGCGCAGCCATTGCGAGAAGTCAACTTAATTTGGAGTGCTCGGTGCTAGTCGCAGTGTCTGGGCCACTCCAGCCCATGATCCCTGGGGTGCAGTTGCGCTGCCTGCACACTCGATAGCTACCCCACTGGCTGCAGATGTAGGTACAGGTGGACGTGCTGATTAATAGTAATCAGCTCATCTCTCAAAGAGAGAGGACGACTCAGAGGCGCTCAGAGGAACCACAGACGAGTCACGTGGTGACTGCTTTGCCAACAAATTGGTGCCAATTTTTATTACCAAGCTCTGCAGTCCTCTATACATTAAGGTGTTTTATCGGCCGGAGCAACCGGACAAAACCCACGCATGCAAGGGGGAAACACTCTATCCCATACAGAGAGAAGAAGCTAAGTCCACATTTTTTGCTGAACAGCATTTCAACGACAGAGCGAGGATATGGCTCCTCCTCGATGCCCACGGGAAAGGAGTTTTGCAACATTCGCGCGGTGATCCACCAACCCTCGCCACCTTTAGCGCTAAATTACAGGCCACGTGCATCGTAGCCGCCAGTGCCCGGCTGAAACGAGTGGCCCATTAGGATGGCAGGAGCCACGCAGCTGTGTCCGTGGGCTGTGGCACAGGTGAGCCCGATCCCCCCGTGCTCCCTCCCTCACTCGGCCAGGTAGTACAGGAAGGGACCCCCCGCCTCGGGGTCCATGCGCAGCACGAGCAGGAAAGGCTCGGCGAGGTGGGGGGGGGCTGGCGCGGAGGGGGAGGCGGAGACGAAGCGAGCGGAGCCAACGCGGCCGTCCATGGCGCCCGGAGAGCTGCCCTGCACGCGGGGCGACTCATTAGTACACAGACTCACTAATACACAGACTCACTAGTACTCAGACTCACTGGTACACAGACTCACTGGTACACAGACTCACTAGTACACAGACTCACTAGTACACAGACTCACTACAGACTCACTGGTACACAGACTCATTAGTACACAGACTCATTAGTACACAGACTCACTGGTACACAGACTCACTAGTACACAGACTCACTGGTACACAGACTCATTAGTACACAGACTCATTAGTACACAGACTCACTAGTACACAGACTCACTGGTACACAGACTCATTAGTACACAGACTCACTAGTACACAGACTCACTAGTACACAGACTCACTACAGACTCACTGGTACACAGACTTATTAGTACACAGACTCATTAGTACACAGACTCACTGGTACACAGACTCACTAGTACACAGACTCACTAGTACACAGACTCACTGGTACACAGACTCACTAGTACACAGACTCACTAGTACACAGATTCATTAGTACACAGACTCACTACAGACTCACTAGTACACAGACTCATTAGTACACAGACTCACTAGTACACAGACTCACTGGTACACAGACTCACTACAGACTCATTAGTACACAGACTCACTACAGACTCACTAGTACATAGACTCACTGGTACACAGACTCACTGGTACTCAGATTCACTGGTACACAGACTCACTGGTACACAGACTCACTACAGACTCACTAGTACACAGACTCACTAGTACACAGACTCACTGGTACACAGACTCATTCGTACTCAGACTCACTAGTACACAGACTCACCGGAACACAGACTCACGAGTGCAAACACAAAGAAAAAGATCCCCCGTATAGCATTTACAGACTGTTGGGGCAAGTGCTGTTAGTGAGCACCTATAAAGGCCGATACAGCACACGAGGGGGTGGGTGGCCAACACCACGCCCGGCCGCCTTTGTCTCCCCAGTGACGATGTTTACACACTGCACCAGATACTCATTGAGGCTGAGTCGACCTAGGCAAGACCCAGGACCAGTTCAGCTAATCGTGAGCGGGAATCGAACTCGGGTCGCCAGGTTCGTAGTGCAGCGCTAACCGCTACACCACATACACACGTTGACTCACTCGTGCACAGACACGTGAAGTCACGCACGTGCGTGATTGGCGCACTCATGTACTCTGACCCCTGGACCCAAAGTGGAGGGGGGTGGGAGTCCAGGGGGGACCCCGGGGGACCGCTTACATGGGGGATTCGTGGGGCGGGGTCGGGGTCAGGCAGGGGGATGTGGGGGACTTGAGGCCAGAGGTCACCGGGGCCACAAGGTCGCGTGTCCGGCCTCAACCTGGAACGACACCGGGGTCGCATCTTTGTTCAGTGGGGACGTGTGAACATGGGCACACAGGGACACGGGGACACAGAGACATTGAGCACAGAGACGCAGGGGCAAATGTTGCATCGGTGAGACACTGGCAAATCAGAATTCCTGAGTGTTCCTTGGCTCATGAGGTCACGAGACACGGCAAGAGGTGAACACGGGGACATCGGGGTACAGATGGGGCCAAGGGGACACGTGGGTCAGGGGGAATTGTAAGCAACGTGGGGGGGGGGGGGTAGGAAGAAGGAATGAGGAGGAAGGGGCGTGGGCCCTGACCCCAGGAGTCGTCTCCGCTCGCGGTGCACGAGGAAGCGTGGCACCCAGTAGACACGCAGGCGGCGCAGCGCCGCGTACTGGGCCCCCGCCAGGAGGGGCAGCCCGGGCCAGGCGCCCCGGCCTCCACACGCCGCCAGCTGGGCCTGCGGGGACCCACGGCGGACGTCGGGGGGGGGGGGGGGGGGGAGTCAGTGATGCGGTCCTGGCCCCTACCCCTTCCCTGACCGCGCACCCCCTTGATTTAGCAACTCCCCCTCGTCGTCCGTGCCACGGTGGGGTCTCAACGGTCCCCGTCCGAGGGCCCCCGCCCCTCCCCGGGGTGGAGTACCTGCGCGTCCGGGGCGACGTGGAACTTGTGCGAGTCCTGCAGGTCCCTGCGTGGGACGAGGGGGGCGTGGGGGGGGGGAGAGATGGGGTAGGGTCAAGGGTCAGCCACTGTTTCTCCCATCCCAAGGAAAATCCTCACTCGACCCCCGATCATCAGCATCATCATTCACGACCTACCCGCTGCTGGCTAAAGGCCTCTGCAAGCCACCGCAAGCTGCCGCGGTCCGGCGAGCTCTCCCGCACCCGAGCTGATCTCATCCCATCCCCACCACCCTGTGGAAGAGTCCTAGAAAGCATCGTCATCATCATCAACGTCATCACCGTCACGTGTGGAGTCTCACCTGTAGAGTTGGGCGTGCAGCTGCCGTGCTCTGCGGGCCCCCCACGGCCCTTCCCCGAGCCCCCCACTCCCCCCGTTGTCACCGTCGGCCTCGGGCTCCACGTCCAGGCACTGGTTGAGCTCCTCGCTCTGGAGCCAGAACTGCAGGAGGTGCCGCCCCGGCGTGGCCTCCAGGAAGCGCTGGAACTGATCCATGCCGCGCTTCTGCAGGGGATGGGAGCGCCGTGTGCCATTCCACGTTACTGTGGCAGGGCCCAGTCACGTGGGTGAGAAGCACACTCACTTCCTGCCATTAGGGGTGTGAATGGATGTGTGGGTGAATTTATGAATGGGTGAAAGACTGAGGGACGTAACTGCTTAATAAATGGATTAATTAATTAATGATTGGGTAAATTAATTAATTAAAACATGTAGTGGGTGAGTGAAAAAGGTAATTGAATAACTTGATCAATGAATGCCTGAGTGAATGAATTCATGAATAGATGAATTGATGACCAAGTTAACAATTGGCTGTAAGGATGGACGAACGAGTGGATGAATGAAAGAGTGACTGAACGAACAAATGAATGAGTGCATTCATTTGTGACCTCACCATCGCCCCGTGACCTCACCGTGCCCAAGGTGCGCTCCTTGACCTCCTGCAAGGTGACGTCGTGCACGGGGGCCGCCCCCTCCCCCTGCCTCCACCCCTCCCCCTCGTCCTCGCCGCCCCCTTCGAAGAGCAGCACGGTGAGACACGGCCCCTCCGGGGGGGCCCCTCTCGTGGGGGGCCAGAGCCCCCCTCCCTCCCCGACGTAGCCGCGCCTGCGTGGAAGTGCACGGAGCACCCGCGTCAGGCTCTCTCTGCTGCCGAGTGGAGCCACGTGTGGGGCTCACCTTCCCAGACAAGCTCACCTGCACCCTCAACTGCACCCTCACCTGCACCCTCACCTTTACCTGTACCTTCACTTCCACCCTCACCTCACCCTCACCTGCACCCTCACCTTCACCCTCACCTGAACCCTCACCTTCACTCTCACCTGCACTCTCACCTGCACCCTCACCTGCATTCTCACCTGCACTCTCACCTGCACCCTCACCTGCACCCTCACCTGCACCCTCACCTGTACCCTCACCTGTACCCTCACCTGTACCCTCACCTGTACCCTCACCTGTACCCTCACCTGTACCCTCACCTGTACCCTCACCTGTACCCTCACCTGTACCCTCACCTGCACCCTCACCTTCACTCTCACCTGCACCCTCACCTCACCCTCACCTGCACCCTTACCCTCACCTGCACCCTCACCTTCACTCTCACCTGCACCCTCACCTCAACCTCACCTGCACCCTCACCTTCACTCTCACCTGCACCCTCACCTGCACCCTCACCTGCACCCTCACCTGCACTCTCACCTTCACCCTCACCTTCACCCTCACCTGCACTCTCACCTGCACCCTCACCTTCACCCTCACCTGCACCCTCACCTGCACCCTCACCTGCACTTTCACCTGCACCCTCACCTGCACCCTCACCTGCACCTTGACTTGCACCCTCACCTGCACCCTCACCTCACCTTTACCTGCAACTTCACCTGCACCCTCACCTGTATCTTTACCTGCACGCTCATCTGCCCCTTCACCTGCATCATCACCTGCACCCTCACCTGGACCCTCACCTGTAGAGTTACTGCGCTGTGTCATTCGTCGTTACCTGTGTGAGCCCCCCCCCCTCGATGTTGCTCACGTGGAGTCGGGGGCCGGAGTCTCCTCCCGCGGGGCGAGCAGCTGATCCCTCCACTCGGTCAGGTGAGCGGCCGTGACCCCATCGTCCCCCCAGCCCAGGTGCGAGCTCCCCCCGCGCCCTACAGGGAGAACAGGGGCAGTGCGGTGAGAGGGGGCTGTGCGCGCCTCACCTCACCATCACTCACCATCCCCTCGCCACCGCTCACCTCACCATCACTCACCATTACCTCACCATCGCTCACCTCACCATCACTCACCATTACCTCGCCACCACTCACCTCACCATCACTCACCATCACCTCACCACCACTCACCTCACCTCGCCACCACTCACCTCACCATCACTCACCATCACCTCGCCACCACTCACCTCACCATCACTCACCATCCCCTCACCATCACTCACCATCACCTCACCACCACTCACCTCACCTCGCCACCACTCACCTCACCACCACTCACCTCACCTCGCCACCACTCACCTCACCATCACTCACCATTACCTCGCCACCACTCACCTCACCATCACCTCGCCACCACTCACTTTACCATCAATCACCATCACCTCGCCACCCCTCACCTGACCATCAATCACCATTACCTCGCCACCACTCACCTCACCATCACTCACCATTACCTCACCATCGTTCACCATCCACTCGCCACCACTCACCATCACCTCACCACCACTCACCACACCACCTCACCGCACCTCGCTCACCCCCCCTTCTCCCCCCCGCCCCTTCTCCCCCCCCCGCCCCTTCTCCCCCCCCCCCTTCTCCCCCCCCCCTTCTCCCCCCCCGCCCCTTCTCCCCCCCCGCCCCTTCTCCCCCCCCGCCCCTTCTCCCCCCCCGCCCCTTCTCCCCCCCCGCCCCTTCTCCCCCCCCGCCCCTTCTCCCCCCCCGCCCCTTCTCCCCCCCCGCCCCTTCTCCCCCCCCGCCCCTTCTCCCCCCCGCCCCTTCTCCCCCCCCCCCCCCCCTTCTCCCCCCCCGCCCCTTCTCCCCCCCCCCTTCTCCCCCCCCCCCTTCTCCCCCCCCCCTTATCCCCCCCGCCCCTTCTCCCCCCCCCCCTTCTCCCCCCCCCCTTCTCCCCCCGCCCCTTCTCCCCCCCCCTTCTCCCCCCCCCCCTTCTCCCCCCCCGCCCTTCTCCCCCCCGCCCCTTCTCCCCCCGCCCCTTCTCCCCCCCCCCTTCTCCCCCCCCCCCTTCTCCCCCCCCCCTTCTCCCCCCCGCCCCTTCTCCCCCCCGCCCCTTCTCCCCCCCCCCTTCTCCCCCCCCCCTTCTCCCCCGCCCCTTCTCCCCCCGCCCCTTCTCCCCCCCCGCCCCTTCTCCCCCCCGCCCCTTCTCCCCCCCGCCCCTTCTCCCCCCCGCCCCTTCTCCCCCCCGCCCCTTCTCCCCCCCGCCCCTTCTCCCCCCCGCCCCTTCTCCCCCCCGCCCCTTCTCCCCCCGCCCCTTCTCCCCCCGCCCCTTCTTCCCCCCCCCCTTCTCCCCCCGCCCCTTCTCCCCCCCGCCCCTTCTCCCCCCCGCCCCTTCTCCCCCCCGCCCCTTCTCCCCCCCGCCCCTTCTCCCCCCCGCCCCTTCTCCCCCCCGCCCCTTCTCCCCCCCGCCCCTTCTCCCCCCCGCCCCTTCTCCCCCCCGCCCCTTCTCCCCCCCGCCCCTTCTCCCCCCGCCCCTTCTCCCCCCCGCCCCTTCTCCCCCCCGCCCCTTCTCCCCCGCCCTTCTCCCCCCGCCCCTTCTCCCCCCCGCCCCTTCTCCCCCCCCGCCCCTTCTCCCCCCCGCCCCTTCTCCCCCCCGCCCCTTCTCCCCCCCGCCCCTTCTCCCCCCCGCCCCTTCTCCCCCCCGCCCCTTCTCCCCCCCGCCCCTTCTCCCCCCCGCCCCTTCTCCCCCCCGCCCCTTCTCCCCCCCGCCCCTTCTCCCCCCCGCCCCTTCTCCCCCCCGCCCCTTCTCCCCCCCGCCCCTTCTCCCCCCCGCCCTTTCTCCCCCCCGCCCCTTCTCCCCCCCCGCCCCTTCTCCCCCCCCGCCCCTCTCCCCCCCGCCCCTTCTCCCCCCCCGCCCCTTCTCCCCCCCGCCCCTAATACCAAAGTTGTCGGGAAGGCTGCGCGCTCGGCTGGGGAGCCGCGGCCCCCTCCCCGTCCCCCTCCCTCCGCGCCCCGACGGGGACGACGCCGGGGGGGACGAGGGGCGTGAGGGCGACGAGGAGGAGGCGCGGGGCCCCGGGCCCAGCGAGGGGGGGCGGGAGCCCAGGCTAGAGGCCGCCTCCGACTGGCGGCTGAAGCCGCGCACCCCCCCGCGCCCCCCCTCGCGACGCTCATCCACGCGCCTCAACAGCAGCGTCCCCAGGCGGAACTCGAGCCACAGCCGTGACCTGGGGGGGGGGGGGGGGGGGAGTGGGGGGGGGGTGGAGGAGGGGGGGGCATTTCAACAGGGGGTTGGATCTAAGAACCTAAATCTAGAATCCGAGTTGTGAGTGGGGAGGAGGGGGAGGGGGGGGAGGCGCCTCACACAAGGGGGGCGTTTGGGGATCATTCGAACCACAGGGAAAGGGGGGGCATTTTGGCCAAGGCCTCGGGGGGGGGGGTGCAGAGGGGGCCTCTGGAGTGAGAGTGGGAGGGGGGGCTGTCATTTGGCGACCTCTCATTCACGGTGGAATCCATGTTCCAAACAGGCGCCATGTAGCGGCACCCTCCTGTTGACGAGTCTTGAGACTCAGGGGGACTTCTCGAGGGCAAGCGAAGGGTGTTAGGGACCACTCGCGGAGCTGCCACGCCGCGCGAAGCGATGGGTGCCTCATTCACACACCTCCTCACACCTCATTCACACATTCCTGACACCTCATTCACACATCTCCAACGCTTCGGAGCCGTGCGGGGCAGAGGATAAACAACGACGGTGATGCGCCAGGCAAAATAAAGTAATTATTCATTTTAGTGTCACCGTTCGTGCAAATTGCATCTCACAATCGCTGAGGCACCACAGACCAAACCGGAAGGCTGCCAGGTGGTAAGCCGGTGCCAACAATTGCTCTGCAGTTTTCTATATAGTAAGGTGTTTTCAGTCAATTCGTGAATATCTATGCATGGGGAAAGCCCACGCACGCGAGGGGGAAACACTCTATCCCATCATACCGAAGGGACAGCTGCTATCAGTCCACACTTGGCTGTACTGCACCCTGCCGGCAAGTCCGGGCGTCGCACCAGACATCGTCATGTATGTCATCCACCAACCCTCGCTGCCTCCAGAGTGCTGGACTGCAGGTCACGTGCCCAGCCACCACCGCCGGTGCCGCACGCGCCGTTGAGATTGCCGAGTGGCGGCGCGAGGCGCGAGGATGGAGGGAGACGAGGAGCTACGCTGGACACCGCGTGGACGCTCCGCGCGCTACGGCCTGTCAGCGATCGACGTGCACGGCCGCGACGTCAATCCACTGCTGGATGACGGCCTGCCCACCCATGCCTGTGTGGTTCGTGGAGGTTATTTGACCATACCTCCCCACCTTGCGGAGTATGGCACGGACGATGCCGTTTGCTGTGCCGCCCTCTCTTGACGACGTGGCCACGCGGCAGCCTATAGCACCTGTTGAGCATGATGGTCGCTCAGTAAAGCTGACGACGGGGACAGCTGTCGCCAGGAGGTCCCCGACGCTCAAGAAGAGAACCCTCAGCTGGGCGCTGAAGCGTTGGAGAGGAGGAGGGGAGGGGGGGGCATGCCGGGGGCATTCAAGCGAGCGACGCGGAGCGTGCAGATCCCGCTGCCGCGTACAGAGCGACGCTGCGACCCCGTGACCCCGTGACCCCGCGGTGCGGCCGCTGACCGCAGGAAGAGCGGGAGCCGCTGGGACTGGAGCCAGGCGAGAATGCGGCCCCTCTGTGCCTCGGTGGCGCCGTACGGGGGGGTCGGGGCCGGGCCCCCTTCATCCGCTGCCCCCTCCTGCTCCTCCTCCCCATCCTCCTCCTCCCCCGCCTCCTCCAGGGAGCCCGTGAGACGGTCATACCTGAGTCGCAGCGGGAAGGCCTGCGGACGTGAGGGCGGGCAAGCGCGTCACCGCACAGATCCTCATGGGCAGGACATTCCACATTCCAGTGACGGGGGCCAGGACGGTGGGATCGCTATCCAGGGTGCTGCCGGTGCTACTGAGCCAGGGCCCGTGGGCCGCAATGGGAAGACAAAGCTGACATATGGCACAGCGGCGAGCCGGCGCTTTTACCCAGGAAATTGTCGGACTTGGGCCACCAGTCGTGACGACTCGGAGTGGCTCGGTTGGCTTCACTCCGCAGGGCAGGGGCAGCGTAGAGCTGTAGAATAATGTTCCGCGTGGCTGTCAGCCAGGGGTGGGGAACCTTTTTACTGCCTTGGGCCATTTGGATATTTAGAACATCATTCGCGGGCCATACAAAATTATCAACTTAAAAATTAGCCCGTTATATTTGGTCAAACATTTAATTAACTCGCCCCTAATGTGATGGGCTGGAACTGCTTCTCTTTGGCGAGGCGTGTGATGTTCGCTGGTATTGATGATGTTGCTACTCGCAACTGCTTTTCCAGGTTTGCTCCGAGATTTATTGAATTTCTAGTCCCGCCTGCGGTTGCCTTGGCAGGGCCAGAGACCAAATGATTTCGCGGGCCTCACACGACCCTACAGGCGGTGGAGCCCTGGGCCCAAAGAGCTGCGGCGGCACGGTTGAGGTTGAACCCCCCTCCCCCCCCCGGGGGTGGCGAGAATACTCACGGGCAGGGCCAGGTAGTGGTTGAAGTAGTCGAGGAAGAGGTCGTCAAAGGTCAAGAGCTCCTCCAGGGCCTCGGTCCCTGCGTCAGCCTCTGGGACACGGGGCCGCGGGCAAATGAGACACGCAAACATGGGGACACGGGGGGAGAAGACACGGTGACGTACACACACACACACACGCCGTGTACACACACGCCGTGTACACACACACGCCGTGTACACACACACGCCGTGTACACACACACACACTAGTGTACACACACACACTAGTGTACACACACACACGCCGTGTACCTACACACACACACACACGCCGTGTACACACACACACGCCGTGTACACACACACACACGCCGTGTACACACACACACGCCGTGTACACACACACACACGCCGTGTACACACACACACGCCGTGTACCTACACACACACACACACACGCCGTGTACACACACACACACGCCGTGTACACACACACACGCCGTGTACCTACACACACACACACGCCGTGTACACACACACACGCCGTGTACCTACACACACACACGCCGCGGTGTAGGCTCAAGCGGAACGCCCCATGTCGCAACAATTCAGCCACCCGTCAATCGGCCTTCGTTCAATTGGGGGGGGGGGGCTCAGATTTTTGGGAGCTTCTGCAGACACAGCCCGTGCCCCCCCCCCCTTACCTCTCGAGACCCCCCCCTCTTCATCCCCCCCCCCACCCGTGCCCCCCCCTCTCCTCGGTGCTGAATTCCTGAGGCCAGAGTCAATATTGACCGCGCCCTGCGCTGCCAAGGACGCGGCTGCGTGCTGAGCACGTGCGCGCCAGCACCCTTCCTCCTCGACGCTGCACGTTACCACGCACACGGATACACACGCAGAGGCAAACACCCCCCCCCCCCGTATCGTCTTAGCAGACTGTTGGGGCAAGTGCTTTAAGCGAGTAGCGCCTATGAACTATGAAGGCCCGCACGGCACATGATGGCGCGTGGTGGGTGGCCAGCACCACGCCCCGTGGCCTTTGTCTCCCCAATGATGCTGATTTTTAAACATCGCAGAATCGACCCAGGGGAGGGCCAGGACCGGTTCAATTGTTCACCCCTGTTATTGGTTGTGAGCGGGAATCGAACTTGGGTCACCGGGTGTGAAGCGCACTGTGCTAACCACAGCGCCACTGCTCCCCACAACAGATACACACACAGAGATACACACAGAGACACATTTTTACGTACATATACACATACATATAGATACACATACATATAGATACACATACATATAGATACACATACATATAGATGCACATACATATAGATACACATACATATAGACACATACATATAGATACACATACATATAGATACACATACATATAGGTACACATACATATAGATACACATACATATAGATACACATACATATAGATACACATACATATAGATACACATACACATAGATATACATATAGATACACATACATATAGATACACATACATATAGATACACATACATAGAGATACACATACATAAGTGGCGGTGTCGTCACCATAGCGCTTGTGCCATTCTAGGTGCGATTTGAGGCCACGCACATGTAACACACATGGATTGAATGACTGATAAGACTCACAGATGCACCAGCTGTGCTCCCCACTGTTCCAACTCTCTGCACTTTAGCCAACCCGTCGCTCTGCTCATTGTTGCGAGCATTGCTCCTCTGCCCTCCGTTGTTGCTGGAAGGGGACTGCCTCCAACTCCCTAGCAGCATCCTTCACGAGCCTACTCCACAGAGGCCGATATTGACACTGCTGGTACCAGTCAAGGGCAAGTCCAATAGGCGCCACAGCATTCTATACCGCATCGGTCCATCTCTTCCCAAGCCCCTTGCCCACCCGCTTGGCCTCCTCTGTCCGACCGAACAGAAGCTGCTTGGGCATGCGGTGGCTGGGCATGCGGTGCCTGGGCATGCGGTGGCGGGGCATGCGGTGGCTGGGCATGCGGTGGCTGGGCATGCGGTGGCGGGGCATGCGGTGGCTGGGCATGCGGTGCCTGGGCATGCGGTGGCGGGGCATGCGGTGGCTGGGCATGCGGTGGCTGGGCATGCGGTGGCTGGGCATGCGGTGGCTGGGCATGCGGTGGCTGGGCATGCGGTGGCTGGGCATGCGGTGGCTGGACATGCGGGCTATATGGCCCAGCCACCGCAGCCTTGCATTCTGGAGAAGCTCACCGATGAGAATATGTCCAGATCCGTCAAGGATCTGTGAACTCAAGCAAGAAAGTCTGGGTAAGGCCAGGACGGATTGTAGGCAGGATCGCCTGAATGTTTCAAACCGGCGCAGATGTCCCTTTAGAGGGTTCCACGTGACGCAAACATAGAGAATGGAGGGCATAACTGTGGCCGAGAAGACTCGCAGCTTTGTATGGAGCGACGTGCGAAAGATGTTCAACGTACATACATACATGTCAGGTAGCTTCCACACAGAGTTACGCAGCTGATAAAAAGACATTGCCGCTCGATTGATTCATGTACATGTGGAATTATAACAACCGCCATTAGCCACTCAGTGGCGATGACGTCACCACGGCGCTTGTGCCATGCTATGTGCACTTCGAGGCCACGTGCCAACTTGCTGTGTTTTTAACTAATTTGCCCTCACAGATACACATATAAACATAAATACACACAAACAGATACACATATCAACATAGATACATACACGCGCACATTTTACACACGACCGAGACAGACGTACGCAGCGCACACAGGAATCACAACTATGCCTCAATGACCATAAACGCGGGTCTCCTGCACTCTCTAAATAACCTCTAACACCTCCAATTCACGCCAATAACAACAACCCTAGCGCCTCTTAAACCGTGGAGTGCACTGAGTCAGCTGGCCCTCGCCCCACGCCGCACCCCCACCCACTCCTACCCCCCCCCCCCCCCCCAGACAATCCCTTGGGCTCGACACAGCGCTGAGCCCCAGGGCCTTAGTGGCAGGTCCCAGTTCACAGATCCAGAGTCTACCCTCGCTAGAATCCAGCCGATGTTATCTGTTTCCCAAATTCATGAACATGGATTCCAGATATCAGATCCCAGCTTTAAGAATTGCAGGTCCTGTACGTCAAATCTCGCATCCCAGATCTCAGAAGATCGATATCGGATTCTATATTTAAGTTCTTAGATCCAACCCCCTGTTGAAATGTCCTAGATTCTAGGTTGTACACAATTTGACATCCCAGACCCGAAATCTCCGATCCTAAGGGTCTGCATTGACGCCAGAGCCTTGGTCCGCTCTCCCATGAGCGACCACGCAGACCTTGCACACGCAACTAGACGTTTCGGGGAAGCATCCTCACGCAGCAATATCGAAGTGACTCGTCTCGGGGTCACTAAACCCCCGAGGCGCAGGGACCCCTGCTCCCCGGCCCCCCGTGTTGGACCCCTGGGTCCGCGGGTCCCCCGCTCGTAACGCAGGGGGAGGGCCGTTGGTCGCGCGAGGGCAGATGTGGCCTGTCCGGGCACGTTCCCTCTACAAACACGGCGCCGAGTGCCGTGTACTCGGCGCACACAGAGTACACACGCTGGGCGGAGGACAAAGAATGCTCAGTGCTAAGTGACAGAAAGACAGCCAGAGGCACGGAGACACGCGGACACAGAGACGCGGAGACGCATAGACATACACGCAGGGGGATGGAGATAGAGACACGGCAGGAGATAGACACACCACGAGAAGCGAAGTGAGACGAAAAGGGTGAAATGGAGTTAAAGACGGAGAGACGTTAGGGGGGGAGAGACGCATGGGGAGAGAGACACTTCGAAAGAGAGAACGCGTGCGTAAAATTGGCACCACCTTGCGTGTTCACGCGGCGTGTACACGAGGAGAGCGCACACGCGCGGCGTGTACACACAACGCTCAACGCGGTACGGCGCGCAGCCGCAGCCTGGCGTGAACGTGAGTGTTATGAACATCAGAGCGCGCGCTGTTGAGAGAGAGATGCGCACAACCTCCACCGCTCTGCCACCGCACCAAGCATGAACAGCACCCGCCCGCTACTGTTGCGAAGAGAGACGGTTGTTCCGAACAGCACCCGCCGTTCGGAAGAGACAACGTTGTTCCGAACAGCACCAGCCGTTCGGAAGACAAAGTTGTTCCGAACAGCACCAGCCGTTCGGAAGAGACAACTTTGTTCCGAACAGCACCAGCTGTTCGGAAGAGAGAACTTTATTCCGAACAGCACCAGCCGTTCGGAAGACAAAGTTGTTCCGAACAGCACCAGCCGTTCGGAAGAGACAACTTTGTTCCGAACAGCACCAGCCGTTCCCAAGAGACAACGTTGTTCCGAACAGCACCAGCCGTTCGGAAGAGACAACTTTGTTCCGAACAGCACCAGCCGTTCCCAAGAGACAACTTTGTTCCGAACAGCACCAGCCGTTCGGAAGAGACAACGTTGTTCCGAACAGCACCAGCCGTTCGGAAGAGACAACTTTGTTCCGAACAGCACCAGCCATTCCCAAGAGACAACTTTGTTCCGAACAGCACCAGCCGTTCCCAAGAGACAACTTTGTTCCGAACAGCACCAGCCGTTCCCAAGAGACAACTTTGTTCCGAACAGCCTCTCTGTTGGGTTCCCTGTGCCTCCTGATGAGCGTGGTGCTCGCGTGTAAAGCGTCGACGTGGGTCGCGGTAGCACGAAGGACACGGGGCCCACTCTCTCAGCCAGACACCGCACGATGACGTCACACGTGATGGTGATTGTGGTGTTGACAATGAGGGTGAAGGACGATGATAGGGGTGGTGGTGGTGGTGATCGTAGTCTTGATGAGGATGGAGGCCGATGATAGGGGTGGTGATGGTGATTGCAGTGTTGATGATGAGGATGGGGAATACAAGGGGTGACAATGAGTGATGATAATAATGACTCTGATCACGATCACCATGATGACGGTGGTGATGTTAATGAAGACAGTGGTAGCCGCAATGTGAATGGTGGATGATGATAGATGTGAGATATAATAATAATAATACTGGTGGTGATGTCCATGGTGTTGATGATGATGGTGACCGCTGAAGACTCGTACCGCACCACTCACCACCCATGTCGTCGGCGCGCCGGGCTGAGCGGACTGCACCTCTGTCTGAGCCGGGCCCTTCACGCCCCGTGAGCCCCTCCCCCCCGTACCCCCGGGGCCCCGGACCCCGTCCCGCGGGGCACGTCTCTGTGCCCCCTCCGCACCGGCGGAACTCGCTTACGCAAGAAGTTTACACTCATAGAGCACAAACACACACCTGGGCTCATAGAACACTCACACCTGGGTTCATAGAACACACACACTCACACACCTGGTCTTATAGAGGACACTCACACCTGGGTTCATAGAGCACACACACACCTGGTCTTATAGATGACCCACACACCTGGGTTCATAGAGCACACACACACCTGGGTCTTATAGAGCACTCACACACCTGGTCTTATAGATGACCCACACACCTGGGCTCATAGAACACACACTCACCTGGGTTGATAGAGCACTCACACACACCTGGTATTATAGAGAACACACACACCTGGGCTTATAGAGCACTCATACACCTGCATGGGTTCATAGAGCACACACACACACACACCTGGGTTCATAGAACACACACTAACACAACTGGTATCATATTGCACACACACACACCTGGTCTTATAGAGCACACACACACCTGGTCTCATAGAACACACACCTGGGTTCATAGAGAGCACACACTCACACCTGGAAACACTCTATCCCCGTACTGCCGTCTCCTGGCGAGCCACTGTATGACACCTCGAAGCCCTCGGGAAGGGAGTTTCACAACCTTTGTGCAATCCACGTCCCGCCTCCACAGTGATAAATTACAGGAAGCAACGCCCGTAGCCACCACCCCCGTCCACACACCCGCACCTGTCAACCCATGGGCTTACCCCGTATTCGTGTAAAGAGAATTTTAGTTTTCAGGTCCATACGGCGTACAGCCTTTTCAATACGGGCAAAACTAAATGTTGTCTATTTGTTTGTGTTTATTCCGTGTGATGGGACTCTGTAGGGTGGACGTTGAGATTTATAAGGGCACGGGGTGACCAATAAGTTCTGAATTGGTCTGAATAAGGTAGGGCACTGATAAAGGGTTGACAGGTACGCACACCTGGAATAACAGCTTTTCCTCATTATATCCGCTTGCTTACTGATGAAAACGTCACGCAATTAAGTAACTTGCGGTGTCGTTTGGAAAAAGTTGGACCGTGACGCCGGCACACGATGGCCCACTCTCGTTCGAATGATGCTGCTGGATCTATAGTAATGTAGTGCTGTAAATAACAGATGAATAAACTCCTTTAAGGCACACACTGGTTTATTGTCTTTCGTTCGACACAGTCCCTACACACACGGAAGGATATACGGTTCCCTCACCCGTAGCCTAAGGACCTACACACGGGTGTGGCTGCTTGCCTAGGGAGGTACAGCCTCCTAACTGGCGGGGACTATTCCCAGTCTACCCGCTACCCTAGCGTCCTCCGGCTGGGACCTAGGGGAGGCTAGCTTCACCCACCGCTGGCTCGGTGGGTCCCCTGACCACTGGTCGCGCAGAGCCTCAGCTCTTAGAAGAGCTGGAAGGCTGGGGAGCCAGGGTCCTGCCTGCGAGGACCCTGTTCTACTCTTGACCGCTGGAACACTGAGCCTGAGCTCTTACAAGAGCCGGAAGGCTTGGTCCAGGGTCCTAGCTTCTTCAGCCCGGGCTCCCCGCGCTCGCCCTTTTATACCCGTGTGTGACGGTCCTTATCCAATCACACGCTCCCTCGTGGGACCCTCTGATTGGTTCTTTACAATCCGTCGTTTCGATCCTCTTTTACCTCATCTGACCCCTGGCCGTTGGTCTGGCGGGAACCTGTGTTTACGATCCGCT